CAAAATGATGGCGTGTGTGAATGACACAAGAGTTAACATGACTCTGAGAGAGTTGCGAACCAAAAACATAATGGGAACAACGATCCTGATATGCATCAGCACAGCGATCTGCATCTCCTTGGGACAAAAACAAAATGAGTGTAAATGCCCTGAATCCACACTGAAGAAATATCTGGGTTGACTGCACTTTCACTGCCATGGCTCTGTGCTCCGCTCCGCTCTGGTGCCACCACGAGCTACCCTTCCCAGAATTCCATAGCACGCAGCCATGGCAGTGAAAGTGTGGCCGATCCAGATCATTTCTCCAATGTAGATGCAGCCCCAGTTGCCTACTAGAAGCATCTCTCTGCCTCTGACTTGGCCCCACAAATGGCAGCCCTTGCGTTGTCCATGTTTGCTGCCGGTCACTTTCCTCTTGCCAAGAAAAGCGGAGCCTGGCGGTGGCAGCAGGGGAGAGCGAAGGGATGGGACATTTTGTATGCGTGTGTTTTCAAATTGAAATGGGAATTGCGAGAGGGAGGGGAGACCGATGTGCTTCAGGCATGGTGTCATCGCCTGGATGCTGGCTTTGGATAAGGCGGCGTGCTCTTCCTTCCTTCCTTTCACAGTCTTTCTTTTTCCCTTTCTTCCAAGGGATCTGGATATGGTTTTTCTTTCCTCCTCCAGCTAAAGTCAATGAGGCTCTCTCTTTCTCTCTCTCTCTTATTTTAAGTGATGCTAATCTGTAGCTGCGACAGGTTTCCACGGTGAGGCTTCCCTCCTAAGCTGCAGTGAGGAGAAAAAGGAGTGAGAGGAGCTCTGTGTGGCCATTGCCCAGGAAAGGAGAAAAGAGAGAGGCACGTACCCGGCCGTGGTTGGAAAGTTAGCCGGAGCCTGCCTTCGGTGAGGATGCGTTATTATTGTCGTGGTGTGCGTTGTTGTTCGAGACAGCGGATGAGCAGGTGTGCAGAGGAAGAGCATTCCTTCTTGGTCGTGATGGGCATCCTTGCGTTGTGTTAGGTGGGAATGGGAGGAGAGAAAGGAGGGCTGGGTTTAAATGGGGACTTCCACTGTGAGGCCTTGCGCTCTAAATACAAGCTTTCCGTTCAAGCTGACGGGAGTTATTTCTAGACCAGAGCTGGCACTGTTGTGATAAAGGTCTCAACTGGGGACTGCTTTGTTTCCAAAATGAAGAGAGTTACCAAGGTTGAGCTTGTCTCAAAATTGCTTTCTCTGAGCTAGCAACTCGGGATGTAAAACTGTGTTCTCTCTTGTATTCGATGTGAGAGCTGCTTTCTCTGTATGTTCAAAGTCCTCTGTTTTGTTGCGGGTTGCCGTTGCTGAGTTCTTGATCCATTTCAGCTGTGAATGTGCAGGTTTCCAAATGAAAATAGCATAGCTAAAGCCAAAACTGTGTTTTTTGTATTGGTAAAGTTTTGGAAGCACCTCTTAGTTTAATTTGTGACATAGCCTACACAATGAAGGGGGGATTTTTGGCAGGGGAGGGTGAGCCGGCAGGCATATTTAACAGCCCTTGTGTTCGTATGTTGAATCTCATTCAGGAAGCTAATGTTTATATGCAGCGTGTCCGTGATTAGGAGATTGTAGTTTGAGAAGAAACCTTCCTTCGTTCTTCTTGGGATCTATAAGAAACACTGTTAATCTGACCAGCTTTTATAACTGTTGATAGAGGTTATTTCCTTTTCAGCCTTTGCAAGCAGAAGAAGTAAAGATGTCAATTTCAGTTGCTTTTGCTAGCTGTTGAAGTTCTTGAAGCTGTACCAGCAAATGATATTATTTCCAGTAGATTTTGGGACTGTTTTTAAAATTTATTAAAACATTTACTACCAACTAATTCTTTCCCTATGTCTGGACTGTAGCACCAACCCAGCCAGTACAGCCATTGGTCAGGGATGATGGGAATTGCAGTCCCATACACCAAGAGGACTCCCCACTTGGAGAAGTCTGTGTTAGAACATTGTTTGGGTTAGATCTTGAAGTCTTTGCAGTATATATTTGGCTACTTTTACAAAATCAGTGCAGAACTTGCAACAACACAGTAGCCTATGTCCGGTTACTGTTTTTTTGTTTTTTGTTTTTGTGTTACGGCAGGAGTGGGAATATTGTGGATCTCCCAGCATTCTTCACAGTTGGAGGTTATGGCAGGGACTATTGGGATCTGTAGTTCAGCAACATATAATAATAATAATAATAATAATAATAATAATAATAATTTATTTCTAACCTGCCCCTCTGCT